CAGTGATTTATATGGTACCCTCCCAACTTGAGATAGTCTATTTCCTGTTCTATCTGTCAGTGCTCCTAAGATAGATTCTCTGTGTTGCAGGTGTATCTGCACTCTACTTCTAGCTGTAATTAGTATTTAAACTCTGCTTTTGTTTTTCTTATAGTGCCTCTTAGGACACTTTCCAAATGATTTTACAACTGTGAACTCACCACTTCTCACTTGATTTTTATTTTTTTTATTTTTTTTCCCTGGAAAGCTGTCATGCTCTTTATCCCCACCATTACAGTGAAAGAATGAACAATATCCTTTTCTGTTTTGATATCCTTCCTGGCAAAACACACTGCTTCTTTTCTGTCACAAATTTCAGAGTGACAGCCCTTCCTTCTGGAACTGTAGAAACAACAGGACCATTTGTTTGCCATCTTCAGCTGTCGCTGAAACATGATTTGTCCCCTCTCTATTTGGACACTCATCTGCTTCTTGCCCTCTAGGTTGTATCTGGACATTCATCCCCATGCTCCCTTCTACAAAACCAGCTCTTTACTCTCAATGCTAAGGTGCTGACCCTGGCAAAGCAGCCAGATACTTTAGAAAAATCCATCCCTGTTGCTGTCTGCTTGGAAATGTTCTTGGTTTCAGATTTTTGGAAGAGATCAGGAATGGATTGCATCTGGTTTGCTTGCTTTGTTTTCTGCAGAATGGCTTTCTTTCTGAACATTGTTGTATTTGTTGCAAACCTTCCTCGCTTCTCTCTAATTCTACAACTAATGAGCAGAGTTGCTTCCTTTATAAAGCAATGCAAATATTTGTTCTCCATTAATATTTTGAATAAAATAGATGGATTTTAGCAATGTATTATTTCAATTTATAAATTTAAAAATAAGGCTGTCTACATGAAAATATCATTGATCATTTTTATGAACAATATATTTTTAACACTGGTTATAATTTCTCAGCAGAAAACACTAGCAATAGAAAGGAAATAGGGAGAAACAGAAGATCAAAAGACAAACACTGAGATTTTAGATCCTGTTTTAACAGTCTTCTGTGTTCACTGCTCTCTTTCCCTCTTCCCAGTCTGGCAGAGTTTTGCTAGTATCTTTTATATGTTGTCACAAATAGTTGTTCATCAGCTGAGTTTTAAATCTTTGAGTTTAGGTTCTGTATTTTAACATCCGGTTGTTGAAATGTGGCCAGGGAGGAACAAGGATGTGTAGTCTCTCAACACCTCTTTTTTCCAAACTTGTGGAAGCTACTTACTAGTCTAAGATTAAAGAAATATGGATGTACTTTAATTTCCAATGTACTGTTTATCTCATAAGCAGATTAGAAATGTTGTGAGGCATTATTCTCAGACTCTCTACATAGGCAGTATATAAAGAAATAGCTGTTTTTGTATATATATATATATATTAGTATGCTTTTCACCAAAGAACCCATATTTTAGCAATTAATCCTGCTACAATCTATTTCAGAGGTTTTCCTCAGCTGCAGCAATGAGAGATTCCTAGCCTGCTTTCTTTAATGAAGGATGCATTTATGAAATAGGCTGTAATAGGATGTTTTGTAGGGAATTCTGAATGGTTTGAGCCAAAAGCTTAGCAAATGACAAGATGTTGAACATCTTGAATATTTAAATTCTAATTAAAAAGGAATGACCATAATCTCCCCAGTATTGATACTTTTTCCTTTTTAACAAACAAGAAACTACACAAATTACAAACATACATAATATATATTTATTTGGAGAATTCTGAAGGAATTTGTGTATGATATCATAGGTGTCACCTGATAGGTGTCATAGGTATACCATAGCTTGGTCTTCACACTCTTTAATTTCCTTGGGCCTCTGGCAGTGAGTGCACCTCCAATATACCCGTGCTATTGGAAGGCTGAAATTTTCATGATCTCTTTCAGCTGTTCCTTGTAGGATATTGGAGGGGTTCTTTAGGGCAACTCTGTAAATGTGGCTCAAAATTTGAAACATAAGTTTTTTTTCCTCCTCTCAGTGTGTCTGGTTTTAGAGTACTGCTTCATGGGATATGGCGCAGCTCTAAACAGAAGCTATTTATAGACTTTTAAACTTGCCTACCTCTAGTTTTGTTTCTAGATGCAGTTATGTTTCTAAATGTTTCAGGCTTCTAGAGTGAAGAGCCATTGACTTTTGCATGGGATGCTGAATGGACTAGCACTCTTCTGGCTAAAGATAAACTCTGAGCATCCTAAATTTAGTCAATCTCTTTTAAAAACCTTGGCACAGATACGTGAACCCAGAAGAATGAGTTAGAATCATTCATTTGAAGTTCCCTGGCTATTTCAGCACCTCCGACTTAATATTTATTCATACAAATTGTTCACTGTTGCAGGTAACTCAAAACGTAGCCAATGCAATAACTCTGCACCTGAGCGTTATTTAGTTCTGCTTTGCTAATTTTGGCAGCACTTCCTCTGTACATTACCACACTGGGCTGTTTTGGCTATGTCTGAAGAACATGTTAGAGGGGGGAATAGGGAGAAAATCTACAAGTTTTGTTAAGATTAGCTTTCATAGCAGCTACAATTCTTCACTTAAGGGGTCAGTTTAATTTTCTTGCCAATTTAAAAGAAATGCTAAGTAGGCAATTAACTGAAGGAGACAATTTTTTTCACTGCATACTGAAGAGAGGATTATCTTGTCTCTAGCAGTTCTCATCTATTTTGACACCAGGGATAGTTACATTCCCCATCATGCTGTTTATGATGCTGATGAGAAATAATGTGTCCTGTCTGTGATGATTTTTCTCCTTTGACTTTTTGATTTTTTTTCTTTAAGGATTTTTGTCTTTGTAAAGGAGTACTTCACCTTGTGGACATGAGAAATAGATTGAGATCTGTGTATTGTCCACTGCCTTTTCTCTTGTTATTCAATCTACATAAACAAGTTTTAAAACACAGTTACTTATTTACGTGTATTTTTTTAACACAATATTAATGAAGAGTGACATTAAAAATGTTGATGTTGGCTACTTAGCCAGCTTTTGTTTTGTTTTCTTGCTAGGATCAGGTATTCCCTTTGTCTATATTAAGGACAGATAACTTGTCATTGCATTTCAGCCTTGTAAATCATGGGTGTTTATGCTCAGCCAGTCATCTGGAGTCATTGTCATAAAAGAAGGTGCATCATCCCTGCATCTGATGCAAAATATCTGAGAGGCTTATTATGCAAATGTGTTTGGAGAGTAGGGTAGTTGATGCTGTTCCTTCCCAGCCCAGCCACGGTCTATAGAGCCTCTCACTATCAGTGCAGTTGTTTTTGAAGCCACAAAGAGCAATCATGGCGCCAAAATTATCCAGGTTAAAAAGCAGTTACTTAAAAGGATTTTGTTCATTTGTGTTTGTCTTTTTTAACTAGGTACATTACAGTGATTCATAGGGCAATTTATAACATGGTGTAAGAATGTCTGCCCAATAAATAGGATCGTATTGGCATAGAAGAAGAAATGCAGTGACATAAACTGGTTTTCTGTAATGAACTGCCTCCTGAAATACAAGTGTGTGCTGGGACTCATTTTATTAGGTGAGCTGAATCCATGCTCGTTGTTTAACTATGTGTTAAGCAGGACATTAGCAATATCGTAATCACTATAGTGTACACCTCTTGATCCTTGATATAGTTTTATGAGACTAAAGAATAACTTACCTCTGTTAAACAAAGGGGGCAATTAGAAACTTCCACGTACATTACCAAATCTTTCCACCAAGATCCTCATTACTGGTAGTGACAATTGTGCTGGTGGTCTTTTCTGGTTTTACCTTCGTAGTGAACCACGAGGGCTATCTGTTGGCTGATAAATATCCTGTGTGACGAGATGAACTCTTTCTCTTCATAGTATGAAATCATTATCTAAGTCCATACCAGGAAGCTGGAAAAACTGTCCATGCAAATCATAACTTTCTCTTGGGTCTTGCTTAGATGTGAAGAGAGGATGACTCATATGAGTGTCTCAGAGTGGTGGTTTTAATTAAATAGGTTAACTAAAGTTAAATGAACAGAGTTGTAATAAGGCAGAAGTAATATATTTGGGAGGCGTGTTTAGAAGAAAGCAAGCCTATGGGATTATTATGTACAGGTCTCTCTGAAAGTAATGTGTGAAAGTAATTGCTTATTTCTCTCCATGAGAAACAACAATAGCTACAATACCTATGAAGAGCACTTTTTGATAGATCAAATTCTCAGCTACAATGCAGTCTTTTTCAACACGGTCACAACCTTTAGCTATGTGTTTTTCCAGTGATGAACAAGAGCCTGCATGCTATGCTTGTATAAATCTGCACCAGTGGGGGTGAGCCACTGTTGCTTCAGTTGAAATGCACCACCCAGCACCTCTCTCTGCTCACATCTGCTGTTTGGTCTCCATAAATGTTCAGCAAACATCAGAATGTCAGTGGGTACCACTTTTCCGCATAGAGGAATTCAGTGGCGCTCCTTCATACACCCTTCCGTGTCAAACGCCGTTCTTTCGGGCTGCCCCTCTGCTGCTATCTGTCATATGGCAACAAGAAGTAATGGAATACTGGTAGGAAGTTTCAACCTCTACTGCCATACCACCAATGTCTGCCTCTGATGTCATGGCCAAAGGAATAAAAATAGGAGGCATTACTTTCAAAGCAGCTCTCATAAATACAAGCATACCACATATGTCCTGAGCAATTGTTCATTACAGGATCCCTTATCACGCTGACATACCACCGTGTTGCAATATGCCTCCAGGCTACATTTATAGATTATCTTAATGGTACACGGGACTTCGGGCGCAGTAGTCAGAGAAATGTGACTGCAACTGATAAAGTACCTCTCAATCATGTAGCAACGGAAGAATTGGAAAGTACTGTGCTGAAACAATGCCAGTGGAAAATAAAGTATCCAGAATAAGATGTGACAGTACCTTACATTGTAAATTCTCTTTGGAATATACTTCATGTTTTATTTATTTTTATTATTTCTTTTTCTTTTTCTTTTTTTTTTTTAGGCTGTGGAAACCAACCTTGCATCAAAAGATAGTCACTGGGTCTATGTAAACGAGGTAAGAAAGTGAAGAGACAACCTAGCTTTGTATGCTTACTCATCACCATCCTTTGTTTTCTGTATTTGGGTACATCAGACTGAGCATACTCTTACCGTTTTTGCTTCTTGAATGGTACAAAGGCAAACCCTATGGTGTTGTATCTCGCATGCCTTATTGAATTGATATAAGTTGCATATGAAAAATCAAAATAAAGCTTTCAAATATGTTATTTTTACTTTCATGTTGATCCTGCCCCATTACCTACTTAGTAGCCAAAGAATATCTCAAAATAAACCTTGAATAAATACTTCTGTATCTGGTGGAATCTCACCTTTCTCACCTATGAACAACTGTGCTCGGATGTCAGGAGAGGAAAGAGTGAAGCCTTAGCTTGTTAAGAGAATGCATTTGCATGACATGCTGGCTTTCTGTAGAGCAGAATTTTGTTGGTGTTCTGGCTAAGTTCCAGGATAGCACAGATCTAAAATGAGAGATTTTCTCTCTGCAGCAAATGGTATCCTGTCCTGCTGCTATGTTTGTTTATTTTAGATTAATACCATGATGCCCTAATGGGAATGAGTGCAGACTTGTATTTAGAAGGCCTGAGAAAGCTTCAAGTCTTGTACCATATATAATCATTTACAAATCAATTATTGTTCAAACTAAATTGCATTTTTTTATATGCTTTTGCTTTCAATAATGATTTGTTCAAGGGTATCATAATATCTAAGTAAAAAGATCTGCGTTCAGTTTTATTTTTATATTTTGAATGCATAACCTTTAATTTAATATCCAATTCCTTTGTTTAATATCTCATTCCCTTTTTTTACACCTAGCTAATAATTTTGAATAGACTACTTTTATTAGTAACTGTGAATTGTGTGGTATTAGAAAGCGCTGTAATTAAATATGAGGGTGAGGAGAGCGTGAAATCTCTGCTTATAAAGGCTTTATAAATTCTTCCTAGGCCACGTTACATTTATGTACTTCCTGATTTGTTAGCTGTGGTAATGACCCACTACAAAATACCAGCAAGATGCCCATAGAGTCAGTGTTTATATTCACATAAAGATAACAGTGTGTATTTTCCTAAACGTTGACTGCGAGGGAGTCTTTGTGAATCTGCTATTTCTGCTCTTCAGGTGTTAAAACTTACTTCATGACGCCTGAATCTATAATATCACAAATAAAAACCTTCAGCACTCATGCATTAACATGTGCTTACACGCACACACGTGTGTCATACAAGATGTCTGCTCTTATTTTGAGAACTTTTATGTTTTCCTCTAATGACTGGATATGGAAGCTGTGGTAGCAAAATGCAGATCTAAGCTAAAAAGGAAATTTCCTTGCAACTTAACAAGTATGGGGAACTTGTTACTGCAAATAGACTTATAAATAAACTTTAGTGAAAAATATTAGTGAACATACTTACTAATGTCTTTAGAATGCAATTAAATTCAAAACAAAATTTGAGAAGTACTTAAACTTTGTGAAGATTCAGCAGGTTGCCCCAGGGGGTTGTGGATGCCCCATCCCTGCAGGCGTTCAAGGCCAGGCTGGATGTGGCTCTGGGCAGCCTGGTCTGTGGTTGGCAGCCCTGCACATAGCAGGGGAATTGAAACCAGATGATCATTGTGGTCCAGGCCATTCTAGGATTCTTTAGAGAGAATTTGCAAATATTTTATGAAGTGTTGATCTTTGTGTGCTTAGAGCTACTGCTAGAAGAAAAAGATATATCCATATAAATATTTAAGTATTATGGATGGATTCTTTAGGGCCTGTTTCTTACTTAACTGTTTATGTTCCCCAATGCCAGCAAGAAGACAAACTGATTATGCTTTCCACGTGCATGTTTCCAGCTAGTATCAATGGGAACTCTGTGGATATTTGATGGAAAACAAGCTGTTCCTTTGCTGGATGTTGATGGGCACTGTAATTTGCAGAATTTAATACATTTTTAATTCCCAACAGCCAAATGAGCTTTTTTTGTTGCAGTTCTGCATGTGTAGCAAACCGGGTACAATTTCTGTAAAATAGTGCTAATACTGAGCCACTCTTTTTATTTTTTTATTTTTATTTTTTCCCTCTCCCAGGCAGATTGAATATCTGTTCATCTGTCTACCCTGTGGTCTGTGTGACTTAATCATACCATTGCAGGGAAGGCGAGAGGTGTAGGGCCAATTGACCCAAAGGGGCAGTAATAGGAAGAGAATACAGTGACAGTTGTTCGTGCTGACAGTTCCTTCTATAAAGAGTGTGGGATTCTAGCAAATAGGTTCCTTAAGCTGCTCTCATTTCAGGGAGCCATTGAAGGGCTTAGTACTGAATACACATAGACTACCAAGGCTCATCTCACAATTTGCTGCATTGGACTTATCTGGCTATAGTTAAAATGGCTTTAAAGTACAGTACTATTTCTACAAGAAATCAATTATTAAATCTTATTTGAGTTAAATCTACTTTTTTTTTTTTTCTACATTGATAATGAAATATTTGTGGGTTTTTGGGTTTCTTTTTGTGAGTTTTTGACTTGACTTATGTATTTTTTTTAAGTGAATTTCTTTCCCACGTGCAGGAATAGGAGTTAAATTTGAGAGTTTCAACTTAACTTATCCCTTCATTTTTTTTGTTGGGAAAGCAATACCAATGAGCTAATGTAAAACTGTATGCCTGTTAAGCTTATATTTCAGATGAACAAATGTGGGCTGTGTAGGGGTTATACACAAACTGTAGTACTCTGCTGCTAAGGGGTTGCATTTTTAGTTTCTAATGACTTAAATTTCTGTGCTGACTTACCCATTCATTTTGGGGCGCCATTGGTGGTACAAAAGGACTCAGTCACCTCTAAAAAAAAAAAAAAAAATGCTGATGGGTTGGAAGGCTGCAACCTTATATGGCAGTCTTTCTGGATAGGAGAATACATAGGGATGTCTTTGCAGGCTGTATGCTCCTTCTGTGTCCTCTTTCAAGTCATTATTTGTCCTTCTCATCTTCTACTATGTCTTAAGAACCTTGCTGTCTTAAAAATAAATGTTTGTGAAATATGTCTGATTTTCTTCAGATGTTTCATGTTTCAGACCTGCAGAGCTCTTGAAAGTAGTGGAGATTGGAGGGGGAAAAAATGTATTTCTAACCACCTCTGTGTTTTATATTTGTTTTATCCTCTTTACGTTTATTTGTGCAAGGAATCATTTAGTATTTCTAGACTTAGAATTCAGATACAAGCACTACCTATGTTAAACATGCTTTTAGCTTTTCAGAAACCCTCATGTATGTGACTTTAAAAAAAAAAATAAAATAAAAATCCTTGCACAAGCAAACACCACTTGAGAACAGCAACTTGTCCAAAAACTTTGATTACTGGCAGTTGTCCATAATTAATTCTGACCTACAGTAAATTGTGCTAGAACAAATCAAGTATTTTGGATGTATCTTTGCTATTTATCACCTGATATGTTGGTAGAGTGACCTGCTGGCTTTGATAGGTGCATGCTATTGCTTCTTGTGGCATGAGTGTGTGACACAGTTGTAGATGCTCTCTGACCTTTTCAGGGTGTTTATTTTCCATCTTTTTTCTTGTTTTCTTTTTCTATTTTTCTTATATTTCTTTTTCTTTGGTGCCTGAATTCAAGCATTTCTGCTGGTTACTCCTGATGTTTTTTGTTCTCCCTTTCTCTTTTTTTGGCACATTCAGAGAAAATGCTGTGTGTTGCCTAGGGCATATGTCTGTGGGAGAAACACAGGAGCAATACTTGAAACTGAATTTGTATGTGGCTGTACAAGGAACAGTGCTCTAGGAGTCTGCATCTGCTTTTTTTGTTAGCAGTGGTAGGTCTAGGGGTATAAATACCATTAGAAGCCATGTTTCTCATTCTGTGGGACATTTTGTGGTTTGGAAACTTTCTCTGTTGCAAGCAGGGGAGAGAAAAAATAAAGGCTGCATACAGAATAAATTCTTCTGCAAAATTGAGCATTGATTAAAAAAAAATTGTTAGACACAGTATTTTGTTCCCATACATCAAATTTATTTGTGATTCCAGATTTTTTTTCTTTTATATGCACATAAATTCATTATTTTTATATATAAACCAGTTAAATTCACAAAGCAGTCAACCATTCTTTACTTGAGTGGCTACTGAATGTAACTGTTAAATAAAATGAGTTGTTTCACCAAATCCTTTCTTTCATTTCTATTTCAACAAATTTTCATCACTAGTCAGAATTTTGAATTGGGAATAATTGTTTCAGTGTCCAAACTACACGTCCCAGTAGTATGTACACACACCTCAGCCCTGAACCTGAGGAGTGGTGAGAATCAGTCTGGTTGAGTAGCTGTGTGTAAATACAGAGAGATACGCTGGAAAAGACCTTTGTGTATCTTTGATAGAAATGCCCAAAGGACCAGAAATTGTAACAGTGGTGGATTTTAATTTCTCTGGTAGCTGAAGAAAGCAGCGTTAGGGCATGGACGTTGTTATCCTTACACGTGTGAAATGTTAAGGTTCAGATTTTGTTTAGGCTAAGGAAGAATGGATTAGGAATATCAAGTCAGAAAATAATTATTGTGGATCTGATTATAAGATGGTAGCATGCACTTAAGAAGAGGAAGATGTGAGAATAGGATTAATGGAGTTCAATGAAGAGATTCTATAACTTCAGAAGTTTAGGGAGCTGGTAAAGCTCTTAAAAAGATAGAACAAGGAAAATAGTATGGCAAAAGCACTGTGGAGTTCTGTGAGGACATAAGATACTGTAGTTCAATGGGGATATTTTTACAGATCTTGAAATCAAAGGGAGGGATTCCACTAAAAAGGAGAGGGGAAAAAATGATGGGTAACTAGGGAGGAATGCAAAGGCATAACAGAAAAATGATTTGCTGAGGTGTGAACTGACTCATAAGAAGTGATACAAAAAGGTTGGATGTAGTAGAAGGTAAAGTGTTAGGTGACTTCTAAGGAGAAGGCAAGTGAGTTTCTAGTATTTTCACTGACTTACTTGAATCTGCATTATAGAAA